AGGCAATACCAGGCAGTCTGAAGACTGTCTCCAAATCCACTCTCTAAATGCTGGGAAAAGCGAAGAAGTAGACAGGCACCCTCTTCACTTGCCAACGGTTAACTGAAAGTTCAAATTTAGTGCTTTCCCCGCCTCCCGCGTGTTTTTTTTTCAGTTCGTAACTCAAATCTAAGTTTGTAAGTCAAGTCAATATTTTCCTATGAGAGCGGTTCGTAAGCCAAAATGTTCGCAACTCAGGCTGTTCATAAGTCAAGGGTTGACTGTAGTCATTTTAAAGTCAAGGTGAGATCAAGCAGGCATTTGTCCCAGTTTGGTCTGTGCTGGGGATGAGCTGAGCTGGTTTGCTTCTTTTCCCAGAAACAACATGAAGTACATCCCATTGCAAACCACACCACACCTGATCAATGCCTCTGTGTGTGTGTTCTGTGTTGTCAAGTTGGAACCAGCTTATAGCAACCATAACTGGTATTTCAAGGTAAGTGAGATATTTAAGGAGTGGCTTCACCAACTCCACTCCCCCAGTATCCAGGGCTGAGTAGGGATTCCAACCCTATTCTCCAGAGTCCTAATTTGTTATTCTATCCACTACACCACGCTAGGCCTACCTGAACCCTTTTGGGTTCCTGTCAATGGCTATTTGGTGTGTGTATGTGCATGTAGGATCACTGCCTTTTGGTTCAGTTCCAGTGTGTGTTTGCTGGGATTCAACCAAAGCAGCTGCCTGGATGTCCCTTTACTTGAAACCACTTAACAATTTTGAGAAATGAGAAGCTTTCTGGCCACCTGCCTACAGAGGGTAAGGAGAGGATGTTCTGAATTTATTTTTACACAATACTTTCATTTTTGTTTTGTTATTGTTGTAAATGCGACTGCATCTTAATTTTCAACAATTCAGTGTACAAACAAACAAAAAAGTTACAAACAACGAAATTCTATTAAAAGCTATAGAACAGAATTGTCACATTGATCCCACTTTAGTTCCAGTGACACTTTCATTTCACAAATGCCCTTACTGAAATAAATCTGTTCATCTTTAAGTTGCTACAATATTCTTCTATCCTCCACCTCCTTTCCACTTCTCCTTTTCCAGATTCTTATTTTACAATGCATGATGGAACTCTCAATTTCTTCTGCCCCCTTTTATACAAAGATCTGGATTATGTGATTTTAAAAATGTCTTTATTATAGCAGGGAGAAAAGAAAAGGTGGTCCTTGCACAATACAAAAGCAAGGACAAGTGATACCTTTATTAGACCAATACTAATACTAATATAATACTAATACTAATACTAATACTAATAATACTAATAATACTAATACTAATACTAATACTACTACTACTACTACTACAAATAGATGTTCACCTTCTGCATCCGCATATCTTTTAGGCTTAGAGGTACGTTCCTGAATAATTCTGATAGATTCTTGTGTATAAAACGGAGTGTGTGTCTAGTTTTTTGTTTTTTTCTTAAAATGAGGATACTGTATAAAATGACTAGAGGTAAATGAATTATCTCAAAATAATTCTTTCAGGTATGTGTAATCTTCATGATGTAAGTCAGGATATCACCTGCCTTTGTTTTTGTATTATGGCAGATACTGAAAACTCAAAAATCCTTATTTTTATATTTCTGCAGACAAAGAATGATGTCTTACAGTATGAGGAGAAATATTTTGTTCTTCTGGAAACATTATATCAATAGAAGATTCCATACAGAGAAGAGAGTTGACTGCATAGCCAATGGGTGATGCATTGCTTATT